ACTGGAAACTCAAATGTTATTAAAAATGATCAGAGAGGACAGAGTTTTGTTTAAAGACAGTCAGATGTTGGATGTCTGTACCATGTGTCAGAGCAAGATCAAGGGTTAAACTATGAGTTGGTTTATTTACATTCTGAGAGAAGCCAACTGAGTCTAACAGTGAACTAAATGCAGAGCTGAGGCTGTCGTTGTCATCATCTACATGGACATTACAGTCACCGCTATAATCACTTTATCTGTACTGAGACTCAGTCAGCTGAGAACTCAGAGTTCAGACAGAAGCTCAGAGTGGGGCCCGGTGGCCGATAGATAACAACTAACAACTGGTTTTGTGCTTTCCAATTCAAGTGAGTGAGACTAAGACAAAGGCTTTCAAACCAATTATAACTAAGTTCTGGTCTCTGGTTGATTCATAGGTTCTAGTGGAGGACTTCTGCCACTCCTCCCCCTCTGCCTGAACTTCCAGGTACATGAATGTGACTGATTCATTCAGACTGACGTATTCTTCATAACTAGGTTTCAGTCACACACATGAAGTCAATGTGATGATCTGTTACCAGATCATTCACCAACAATCTTACTGTATTTATGCTTATCCTTAGCCAGCAGTTTTAAACAGGACCTCAGAGCTGTTTTTTCACTGATGATGTGGTTCTGTCGGATTCATGTGACCTCTGGGAGCTACAGGGACCCTTGTTCAGTTTTAGGGCTGTTGTACTACCAGAGGAGGGCGGGTCGTCCCTGGTCTGGGTTGCATCCTCAAGTCAAGGGTTCAAGTATCGGAGGGCCTTGTTTGGGGTGGGGGTGAGGTTGATCCAAGGTGTGTTGCAGGTTCGGAGTGGAGAGGTGTCTGAGCCTGAAGCCTGGCCTTTGATTTATCTGTCAAATCAGGCCCAACCTTCACCTTTGGTCACGACCCTGCTTCTGAAGTAATACCAGGCGAGATGTGATGTGACTGCATGGTGTCATGGTGCGCCGTTAGGGACAGAGCTCCAGAAGGAGTCCCATTAGAAACCCCGTTTAATTGCACTAAAAAGAACTAGTTGAGATGGTTTGAGCATCTCAGTTAGATGTATGTGTGGCGCCTCTAGGAGC